TATATAATAGTTGTTGCTTTACACTGACCTACGTGAACGGTGCTACAAACTGAGTCTTGGGAGTCAGTCATTGTTCTCTCTCTCTCTCTCTCTCTCTCTCTCTCTCTCTCTCTCTTTTTATCCACTGTTGAATAAGCTAATCCCGACATGCACTTTTTCTCTCTTCTCTTTATCGATTACGCTCTTTTAATAATATGTAAGGCCAGTTCTCTTTGGTCAAGCAAGCCAGCCAATCAGGGGCCCGCTTCCGATGTTAGATTCTGTCAATACTCTTGAGAATATGTTATCATAGCTCCACTTTGTATTGCCCATCCCGGCTGCCATCATTTTTGTACATGTTATATTTTTCCTCAATAGTTTTCCAGCATCTCTATCATATATTGCCTTTATGTAACTATATTTTTCTGTCATATTTTTCTCAATACATTTTCTGGTTAGCCTATCGTATTGGTTGAGAACTGTGAAAATGTTACGAGTTTCAGTGCTTCTGTGTGTGTGTGTGTGTGTGTGTGTGTGTGTGTGTGTGTGAGATAACATATTCTCATGTATCTCTCTTTTATTTGTTATCTCTGTCTAACTATTACACCATCCCATCTTTATCTATATAATAATAACACAAAGTCATTTGGCTCTTGTCACCACACCATAAGATGATGGGAACAGCACACACCTGATGACTCTCACGCTCGCTGTAATACAGGAACATAACATCATCCACCATATCACTCTCGGGTTACATACTTCTCTCCTGAGCGTCAGTATCACATTCATAACTTATGTGTGTAGGTGATGGTGGTTTTTAATAAAGGAGTATAGAGGTCAGCTCCTGGGAGTGGACTTAGTATATTAACTTGAAAGAACTTACTTACTATAAAAGATAAACACACTATAACTAAAACAAACTATAAGCAATACTCAACACAGTGAATATACCGACAATACTATTGATCTTATTTACTCTTAAAAATAAAATACATCCAGCGTAGAGAAATATTATATTACGCTACACTAGAACCAACATTATGGTGGAATTTAAAATCCATTTATCTTCACCATTACAGGTCTATTACAGACTCCATTTATACAGTGGGTCTCTGTCCTAATGGTAGCGTCGGGTAGGCCTTACGAGGCAAAACATTTTGGCTGATTTGTTACAATTTCAACCTGGGATTTTTGGGCTAAGGCACCTATACCATTAAAGAAGGTAAATTTTTGCATCACTTTTGGTATTGTTCTTTATACTTATATTTGTTTTGTTTTTCAGTGTATTCGTTTTAGTAAGTTTGAAGTAAATGATTGGTGTTGATGTATTAATGCCCTTGAACAGGTGAGGTCTTTTATGTTTTGTTTTGTTTTTACGGCATTAGCCCACCCTTTCACAGGTCACTGACCCGCATCAGGGCCTAGGGGCGAAAAATATAATAATAATAATTTGGGGGCGCTGGTGGTAGAGCGGTAGCGCTCTTGCCTCGCAACCAAGATGTCACGGGTTCGATTCCCGGCCGGCGGAAGTTGTTTGGACACTCTTCTAGTCCCCTTGGTCCCGGTTCACCTATAGCAAAGTAGGTACCTGCTGTAAATCGAAAGTTGCGAATTCGTATTCAGAGAAAGTTGTTGGAGCTTCCAATAACTTGCGTAAGAACATTGACTCTTCAGGCCTCGCCCTTGACTCTTCACTTCCTTGACTCTTCAGGCTTCTACGCCCTTGACTCAGCTTCTATGCCCTTAACTCAAGATACAGGCAAGCCCTGTTGGGCACTGTAAACGCTTCCGCTTCACCTCACAAGGATGTAGGGGGTGCCAATAATAAAATAAATAAATAAATAAAATAATAATAATAATAATAATAATAAATAAATAAATAAATTAATTAAAAAAAAGACCAATAGTGAGAAACAGTGTAGGTTTATTGAGTCATTATTCACAACATATGATTAATATTAACCCTTTGACCATAATGGTTTAACTCCCTGAATATAACATCAGTGTACTGTACTCTGGGAGACTGATGACCATTTACCAAAGTTAAGATATCGTAATCAGAAGTTTAAATAATCGTACTCAGAGTTAAGATACTTTACTCTCTGGGTTAATCCATCGTACTCATGGGAGTAATTAGACTCAAGGAATTTAATGTATCTTACTCATGTACCTAAATCACTGCACTAAGGCGCGGGTCGGATTGTACTCAAGGGGTTAGGAATCATCAGTGTTTATATACCCTTCCAATATTTCAGCGCCATCACTCCCTTACACAGTATTTATTTCCACGGTAATAATCCTTCCTCATGCGGCCTCTCTTGGTATCCACTAAATCAATACAATATAACTTTTACCTTTACGTTTATAGTAATTCTGTATGTCACCCTCCAGCATCCTATATATAAGCTCTTATTATACTTTTATATGACCAATTATTCCATGACCCGATGCAAGTATTAATGTACACTCGCAACAAAAGTATCGGTGCATACTGGAGTGTGAACAATTTGAGACCAGTGATGATAGGTTTGGGAAAGGCAGGTTGTTCCAGCCGTATGTTGGCAGCCCTGATTGTCAGCCATATGGCAACACCTAGTGGAGTATGGATACCTTCAACCTTCCCGACATATCACAGTGTATACGTATCGTTTCGGAACTCGTCGATCTCACCCTGCACCGATACTTTTTTGATGCGAGTGTACATATATTTTGCTCATATAATTCCGGATAGATAAGTGTTCATTATAACGGGCATGTCATTGTTCTAGACACCTCTCCCAGCCGTTATATCTGATGTATGAGTAATTATTTCCAATATCGTCCAGAGTGGGTTGCTGGCTTGGCTCTCACTCTCAGTCAGTCCTTCATACGGCACAGACCTGCTGTTTACCGGCCTCTCTCCATACAGTGAGTGTTCCTTACTTGTGTCAAACAGCAAGACACACGGGTAACCAGCTCCCACAATAGTCGTGGTAATATCCTAGTCTGGGGTCCGTAATCAATAGTAATACCAAGAAGCACAACCTTGGGACCCATGTAATGTGTGTGTAAAGTTTTACGTCTCTAACTGGTTCTGTTTGGGAGCTGTGACTGGAACAGACAGACTAACGGACATGTCTTTTTATTATTATAGATCTACTGTTCATCTTCTCCCAATCCCTTGTTATCTGTCTCCTCTGCTTCCTGTATTATTGTTCTGTAAGTCCCTCAATTATTACTCAAGTGTCTTCCTTCTATCTTCTTACTCCCTCCAAGTCTTTCACTTCATTTACATTATTGTAAATTATAAACGAAAAACTTTGATCTATTTCTTGATGTTTTTACTATGAAACGAAGGTGCCAGTACACACCCTTGTCTCACTCCTCTTCTTATTTCAGTCTAGTTATCTTAATGATTTCCTCTGTCTGCCGAGTCACCATGAACATGACTATAATACTGTATCTAATGACCCTAACCATTCACTTTAATGTTCATGTAGAGTTATACATCATAACATAAATTCCTCTCTACTGCTGGTTAATAGATTTATCGCTATCAACGAACATCATACTAAAACTTCATAAATAAAATTCACCCGTGATATTTCAGTTGGTTCTGTCAGAGATCTTTTAGTTCGTGTCAATGTGTAGGGTATATATTTATTTATTTTTTGTATTACTCTCTCTCTCTCTCTCTCTCTCTCTCTCTCTCTCTCTCTCTCTCTCTCTCTCCAGGTAGGTCTATTTAAGTTTATTGAATGAAGATGAACGACGTCCCTGACACTTATGCTGATGTTGTGTTCTGTAAGGGCAAGATGGTAGAAAGGGTGATAGCGTTATAAAAGAGAGAGAAGAAAGAAAAATATTATGACAAGCAAGACTGGTAGTGGGTTGGTGGCATCCATACTCACCTCTCACACAAAAAACTAAGGTTCGATCCCTCCTTGGACAACGTGTTATTAATTATTGTCTATATCTCCGTCGATATTACTGTGCAACTTATAAATAACTCCTAAAAAAATTTATTCGATGTAGTATTAATTAGCTACAGGTAAGACAAGATGGCGGGCAGGTACAGGAGTAATAATAACATGGCAACAAATAAACAGAGTACATTTATATACATGTCTTTATTTCATACAATTCTGTAAAAAATACAACATACAGCATGAAGACAGCGGTACACACACACACACACATTACAAAATATATATCTATATATCTATTGGACATCACTGGGGATGTCCTCAGTTATCCTGTAAAGAAAATTTGAATAATCATATTTTCTTCTTTTTTGATGCAATTATATATTTTGATTGTAATTTGCTACAATTTTCAGTAACTGCATCCATGGTGTTGTTCCCTATGGTTAAATGACCTTTATATAGAGATCCAGACTCCCATTACATAGATACGAGTATTTAAATAAAGGGTTTAAGTCCTGTTTGAGTTTTCATAAAACACAGTTAATGTCTCGTTATGTTTTGTTCTGTCATAAAAAAAATAAACAATTGATTTTGACTATTTTCCCCAAAAATTACGTCACTGTATATTGTGTAAACATTAAGAAGTGGTTTTATTTTTCTTTATCAATATCTAAAAAAACGAAATTTTCTCTACATGAACATAATCACCAAAGACAGAGAGAATTGAGGGAGAGATAGAGAGACAAACTCCCCGGAGAGACTCTAACAGTAATGCCATCCAATAAGAGAGAGAACTGTACATTATTTTTTTTTCCTTTACAAGAAGAAATAATGATCGTAAGACTAAACTTTATATATATGTATGTACAGTAGAGTGACCTCAATGACAGGATATGTATTACCATTTAAGGTATTCTAGTTTGTTTCATTATCGTAAGTTGGGTGAGAGAGAGAGAGAGAGAGAGAGAGAGAGAGATCTTTGCAGTACCTTTCAATGCAAATGAAAACGGTGGCAGACAATTTGACTAGAAGCTCATAAAACTCCATTTAAGTGGTTACGTGAACAAAACTGATGTAAACAAAGATGGTGATAATAACCAATAAACTCCCACACTCTTTACAATACACATATATTAACATTATAGACACAAGTTACAGTTATTTGTATTGCATGATATACGTGAGAAATGTTAATTAACTCAATGTTCTTCATTCTCAGAGTGGCTAACACAATGACACTTAAATGAAAAGAAATGAAAAACTTCTCACCACTTTGAATCTTGAGTGTAAATCTGGGTCCATATTCCACCATCAGCCAAGTTGACTCAAGATCAAATAATCTCGAACAAAAAAAAAACAATAGAAATAATAATGCAAGAAATAGCTTTTTATTGGTCTTCGTTCACTGAAAACCAATCCTGACTAATATATATATATCACAGACAAATCACAGGACCTCGCCAACAGACGAAGGTTAATTAATTGAATTGCAACAGCCTAAGCAAACCACAACACAACTCTAGTGGCTGAGAATGCAAGTAAAGTATACATATATATATATATATATATATATATATATATATATATATATATATATATATATATATATATATATATATATATATATATATATATATATATATATATATATATATATACGGTAATAAAAAAGTATAATGAAAAATAAGAGACTCGTGGAAGCACTTACTGTGTGACTTTATAAAACGATATGGTTGTAAATCACATGATAAAACAGACACTTTAGCTCTTATAGTACTTGTTAGAATGAGTTATCTTGTCTTTATCATTCCTCTAATGACGTCACACGGAAGCACTTTTTATATGGTCTTGTGAACCACGATATGGTTGAACATCGTGTGACAGAAAATAGATGTTTTTGTTATTAACAAACTTACGAATAAGTTTCTTTAAGCATTGTTCCTCTTATGACGTCACATGTTTTGAGACAATTTGATTTGTGCTGAAATTTTATTCACATAATAAACACACACCATTAACTACTGAATTGAGAGTTTGCTATTTAAGAATCCCACAGGGATGAAAGCAACGACTACCACACAACTACAAATATCAAAATAAATTCAAGTGTAATGTTTTTTGCAATGTTAAAGGAGTTGTAAGTAAACATTCATGGTAAACATTTTTATAACAATATAACGAACCCCTGGATACGTGAAATGCATTATGCAACATTTAACACAAGAACACAGTCGTTTCTCGTACCGAGGATCGACCTTGGTTCTCGAACTCCGTATAATGGGGGCTGTCCACTATGACCGTGGTGGCCCTGTTGTGGTGAAATGTCCAAAATGTGGTCCATCTTTTTCACTGAGGTCTTTGCAAATATTTTAAAGCTCAAAATTCTTAAATATTGGATCTGATAGTCACTGGCAGAAGGTTTTCAACACTCCCTAATATAACGACATCCTTCCATGGTGCTGGGGCTGACACCACCTGTTAACCCATAAAGTGGGCAATAAACATGAAGAGCTAAAACGCCATTCAGAAACACCTTTTCCAGCAAGGATTATCTGGTAAAGTTACGGCATTCTTGTTGATTGCAAGAGTGCACCGTGTTCAGAGGTCAGCAACATGACATTGGTGTAGTCGTTAACAAGAAGTGTTCATAATCGTTTCTTTGAGTGCTTTGGCCATGACTTTTCCTCGGCTGGTAAGACAGAGTTTGGCAATGACATTCGTCTTGATTGGAAGAACACAGACTACCCAAGACAGGTAGACCAGCACCATATAGTGATTACATACAGTAAGTTAGGTTTGAGATTCTTGTAAAACATCCTTTGACGGTCGGCAAAGATTTTGTAATTAATATTGTTCAAATTGGCTGGAGGGCCATGATGGCAATTTTCAATTGCTCACTTTTATGAAATACGTACAACAGGTCTTCACATTTGAGGCACTGAAAACCACTGAGAATAAATTCGAAGTAAGGAAGCCTAACAGGAGTAACCAGACTGGTACAGGTTGTTTTACTTATGCAATAGACTTTGTAACCCAGAGTGTGTGCTGCAGAAACAGAAAGGTCTATGAAGATAGCGCAAGACACCTCACACTAAGTCCTCAAGAGAGTAGTCCAACACGAGTACCTCCTGAGTACCTCACTCCGAATAACTGAATGGATAATGAAGACCTCGTGCACGGAAGGCTGTGTTACAACTCACTCTATATAGTAGAGGGTATAACCCAAGTTTTTACGCTGCAGGAACAGGTGGATCTCCCAGAAGGGAGGTCGCTGGCGGTCGTTGGGTCTCCAGCAGGCAGTCATCATGTCGTACATCTCGCGAGGACAGAGCGGCGGATGAGGCAACACCATCATACCGGAGCCATCACCATGGTAACAGTGAGACACGTTCTCCAGAACGCCGTCATCACTCAGCTCGTCGTAGGGCTGCTGGCGGGCCATCGTTAGGATCTCCCACAGCGTCACGCCGAACGCCCACACGTCACTCTTGGTGGAAAACCGACCCTGAAGGATAGACTCCCACGCCATCCACCTGATGGGCAGGAGAGCCCGACCTTCACTCAGCCGGTAGTAGTCGCTGGAATATAAAGATCGACTCATGCCAAAGTCCGATATTTTAATAGTTAATTCACTCCCCACCAGACAGTTTCGAGTCGCCAAATCCCGATGGACCACATTGAGGGCCTCCAAATGCTTCATTCCAGAGGCCACTTGGGATGCTATATAAATAAGAGCCCCATAGCTAAGAACTGGGAGGTCCGCGTCTTCCTCCGGATCCGTGAAGTTAGCAGGCACGATGGTCCCATCACCCTGGTGCTTCCTGAGGAACTGGTAGAGGTCGCCACAACTCATGTACTCCAGTAACATACACAGAGGCTCCGACCGTGTCACCATCCCGACCAGCTGAACGATATTTGGATCATCAAGACGACTTAAGATTCGAGCTTCCTGGCGGAAATCTTTTTTGGTAGTCTCGCTGGCACCTGCCCTGATGCTTTTCATTGCCACCATCTGTGATCCCTTGGGGTCCTCAATCTCACACAGCTGAACCATGCCGAATTTTCCCTCGCCAAGAGTCTCCAAGCTGCGTATGCGCTGCCGAGTCACTTCAGGAACTGGGCGTTCTTTAAAAACATTGGTCCCATCGGCCACAGCATATATGACGGAGCCAGTGACGCCCTGGATGTTGGTAGCATAGCATAACTGTGGGGCGGCATAGTACTGCTGTTCGGGGGGCGGAGGGATGGGTGGCACAGGTGGCGGCAGAGGTGAGTCCTTACGGCCCCTGACTGTTGGCAGCGTAGACGGCGGCCTCGTCAAGGGGACGGGAGGAGGCGGGGAGTACACATCGGAGAATGGCGGCGGTGGAGTCATGTTGACATCAGGAACTGCGTAGTCCACTGAGTCGTCGGTATCAAGGGGCAGGGGACATTTGAGAGTCTCTGAGGGCGTGACAGTGTGGCCAGGTGTAGTACCCAGGGTTGTGCAGCGGACCCTTGTAAGGTTCCTGGTACATGGCGGCCGCCTCCTCTTCCATGGTCACGTGACCATACAGTTCCCCCTTCGCCCGTGAGTAACCATTGGAAGTCGGCGTAAGATTCATATTGATGTGAAAATCCTTCATTTTCATTGACACTTTCTTGGCATCGACGCTGTTGATGGTGGAGGAGAGCGTCTTAGTTTTCTTTGAGAACTTAAGGCGGTAATATAAGACACAGAGAGCTACGGGAACCACGCCAAAAACCACGCCTAAGGTGGCTAGACCTCCAACCAAGAACCCTGAGGAGGAGGGTTGTGCTGGCACCACTGGGGGCTGATCCTGTACCTCCATCAAGGACTTCTTCTTCACCGTCTCCTCCGTCGTCAACACCATCTCTTCATCCGTCAGGTTACAGGTGCACGGAACTGTGAGATACAAGAACCATGGAAAATAAGAATTGAGTCACCACATCAAAACATATAATATCTATAAATATATCACTAATAAACTTGTGGTCCTTTGAATGATAAATAATGATTGATGAGAACTGAAAAAGATTTAAGAATAGTAATGTAAACTTATTCAAAATATCACACCATTAGCACCATAAGGAGCTGTACCATTTGTAGACGGTAACACCACAAGCAGTCGGCAAGGCCATTAACCTTTCATGGAACAAGTGTGTCCACGGGTATGAGAGACAAGAAGTAGCAATTACACCCAAGCAAGTATTAACAGTCAGAAGAGGAAGCCCGAAGGACCAGTTGTGTTGAGGATCAAGTGGTGATACAGCAGGAACAGAGGTAGCACCAGTTACATTGAAGAAAGTAGTATAAGCTGCAGTAACAGAACCAGTAACAGTAAGAGAAGCAGTAACAGTAAGAAGAAGCAGTAACAGTAAGAGAAGCAGTAACAGAAACAGTAACAGAATTAATAACAGTAATAGAACCAGTAGCAGTAACAGTAGCAATAACAGTAACAGCAAGAGAACCTACCTGAGTCAAACGTGACCTCGGAGATGAGGATCCACCTGAGGGCGAAGTAGAGTTGCAGCTTGACGTACTTGGCGGCGGCGTTGTGGAGTCTGATGGTCACGTTGCGCGCGTGCTCGAAGATGCGGTCCACCACGTACTCGAACTCCACAGCTGGTTGTACGTGGTAGTGTTCCCCGCCACGCTGAACAGCACCCGCGCCCGCGAGAACACCTGTCGGGGAGACACACAGCTATAAAACACCTGTCGGGGAAGACACACACAGATATAGAACACCTGTCGAGACACACACACAGCAATAAAACACCTGACAAGGCACACACAGCTATAGAACACCTGTCGGGGAGACATACACAGCATATAAAACACCTGTCAGGAGGAACATACATATAAAACACCTGTCAGGAGACATACACAGCTATAAAAACACCTGTCGGGGACACAGACAGCTATAAAACACCTGTCAGGGGAGACCCACAGCTATAAAACACTTGTCAGGGGAGACACACACAGCTATAAAACACCTGTCAGGGACACACACAGCTATAAAACACCTGTCAGGAGACACACACAGCTATAAAACACCGTCAGAGACACACACAGCTATAAAACACCTGTCCAGGCTGCTCATTGTCCTTTCAGGTATTGGTGTTTCTTCAAGTGTGGCCTGCTGGTGTGTGTTGTTGGTGTGGTGTTAGGGTGGCAGACCTGCCTGGTGGCAGACCCTGGCTGGGTGTGAGGGTGGCAGACCTACCTGGGTGTGGAGGGTGGCCTACCTGGGTGTGAGAGGTGGCAGACCTACCTGGGTGTGGAGGGTGGCAGACCTACCTGGGTGTGGAGGGGTGGCAGACCTACCTGGGTGTGAGGGTGGCAGACCCTACCTGGGTGTGGGGGGTGGCAGACCTACCCTGGGTGTGGAGGTGGAAGACCTACCTGGGTGTGGAGGGGTGGCAGACCTACCTGGGTGTGGAGGGTGGCAGACCTACCTGGGTGTGGGGGTGGCAGACCTACCTGGGTGGAGGGTGGCAGACCTACCTGGGTGTGGAGGGGTGGCAGACCTACCTGGGTGTGGAGGGGTGGCAGACCTACCTGGGTGTGGGAGGGTGGCAGACCTACCTGGGTGTGGGGGTGGCAGACTGCAGCACGGGTGTGGAGGGTGGCAGACCTACCTGGGTGTGGAGGGTGGCAGACCTACCTGGGTGTGGAGGTGGCAGACCTACCTGGGTGTGGAGGGTGGCAGACCTGTTGGCAGACCTACCTGGGTGTGGAGGGTGGCAGACCTAGCTGGGTGTGGAGGTGGCAGACCTACCTGGGTGTGGAGGGTGGCAGACCTACCTGGGTGTGGAGGTGGCAGACCCTAGCTGGGTGTAGAGGGTGGCAGACCAGGCTGGGTGTGGGGTGGCAGACCTACCTGGGTGTGGAGGGTGGCAGACCTAGCTGGGTGTGGGGTGGCAGACCTACCTGGGTGTGGAGGGTGTGAACCTACCTGGGTGTGGGGTGGCAGAACCTGGGGTGTGGGTGTAGACCCTAGCTGGGTGTGGGGGGTGGCAGACCTACCTGGGTGTGGGAGGGTGGCAGACCTACCTGTTGGCAGACCGACCTGGGTGTGGAGGGTGGCAGACCTACTGGGTGTGGAGAGTTGCAGACCTACCTGGGTGTGTGGAGGGTGGCAGACCTACCTGGGTGTGGAGGGTGGCAGACCTACCTGGGTGTGAGAGGTGTAGACCTACCTGGGTGTGGAGGGTGGCAGACCTACCTGGGTGTGGAGGGTGTGGCAGACCTACCTGGGTGTGGAGGGTGGCAGACCTACCTGGGTGTAGAGGGTGGCAGACCTACCTGGGTGTAGGGTGGCAGACCTACCCGGGTGTGGAGGGTGGCAGACCTACCTGGGTGTGGGGTGGCAGACCTACCTGGGTGTGGAAGGTGGCAGACCTACCTGGGTGTGGAGGGTGGCAGACCTACCTGGGTGTAGAGGGTGGCAGACCTACCTGGTGGAGACCTTCCTGGGTGTGAAGGGGTGGCAGACCCTACCTGGTGGCAGACCTACCTGGTGGCAGGCCTACCTGAGTGTAGAGGGTGGCAGACCTTCCTGGAGTGCGGAGGGTGGCAGACCTACCTGGTGGCAGACCTACCTGGTGGCAGACCTACCTGGGTGTCCTTGGTGAAGAAGTTGTTGGTGTACATGTGGAGGCCGGTGAAGTTCTGACGGAGTCGAACTCGAGGTGATCTCCACCGGCTGCGTCTGGCGGGAGTCGTTCTTCCATCCTATCCACTCGTAGCCTACAGCAGGAGAGAGAAAGAGTTCAGTCAGGCCACATAACCACCCCTCGTAGCCTAGCAGGAGAGAGAAAGAGTTCAGTCAGGCCACATAACCACCACTCGTAGCCTACAGCAGGAGAGAAAGAGTTCAGTCAGGCTACATCCACCCACTCCTAGCCTACAACAGGAGAGAAAAGAGTTCAGTCAGGCCACATAACCACCCTCGTAGCCTACAACAGGAGAGAAAGAGTTCAGTCAGGCCACATAACCACCCTCCTAGCCTACAACAGGAGAGAAAGAGTTCAGTCAGGCCACATAACCACCCACTCTAGCCTAGCAGGAGAAAAGAGTTCAGTCAGGCCACATAACCACCACTCTAGCCTACAACAGGAGAGAGAAGAGTTCAGTCAGGCCACATAACCACCCACTCGTAGCCTACAGCAGGAGAGAGGATTCAGTCAGGCTACATAACCACCCTCTGGCCTACAGCAGGAGAGAAGAGTTCAGTCAGGCCACATAACCACCCACTGCCTACAGCAGGAGAGAGAAAGAGTTCAGTCAGGCTACATAATCACCCACTCGTAGCCTACAGCAGGAAAGGAGTTCAGTCAGGCTACATAACCACCCACTCGTAGCCTACAGCAGGAGAAGAGAGAGTTCAGTCAGGCTACATAACCACCCATGTGTGCCTACAGCAGGAGAGAGAGTTCAGTCAGGCCTACCACCCACTCGTAGCCTACAGCAGGAGAGAGAGAGTTCAGTCAGGCTACATAATCACCCACTCGTAGCCTACAGCAGGAAGAGAAAGAGTTCAGTCAGGCTACATAACCACCACTCTGTAGCCTACAGCAGGAGAGAGAAAGAGTTCAGTCAGGCTACATAACCACCCTCGTAGCCTACAGCAGGGAAGAAAGAGTTCAGTCAGGCCACATAACCACCCACTCGTAGCCTACAGCAGGAGAGAAGAGAGTTCAGTCAGGCCACATAACACCCACTCGTAGCCTACAGCAGGAGAGAAAAGGTTCAGTCAGGCTACATAACCACCCTCGTAGCCTACAGCAGGAGAGAGAAAGAGTTCAGTCAGGCTACATAACCATCCACTCGTAGCCTACAGCAGGAGAGAAAGAGTTCAGTCAGGCCACATAACCACCCACTCGTAGCCTACAGCAGGAGAGAGAAGAGTTCAGTCAGGCTACATAACCACCCACTCGTAGCCTACAGCAGGAGAGAGAAGAGTTCAGTCAGGCTACATAACCACCCACTCGTAGCCTACAGCAGGAGAGAGAAGAGTTCAGTCAGGCTACATAACCACCCACTCGTAGCCTACAGCAGGAGAGAGAAGAGTTCAGTCAGGCCACATAACCACCCACTCGTAGCCTACAGCAGGAGAGAGAAGAGTTCAGTCAGGCTACATAACCGCCCACTCGTAGCCTACAGCAGGAGAGAGAAGAGTTCAGTCAGGCTACATAACCACCCACTCGTAGCCTACAGCAGGAGAGAGAAGAGTTCAGTCAGGCTACATAACCACCCACTCCTAGCCTACAGCAGGAGAGAGAAGAGTTCAGTCAGGCTACATAACCACCCACTCGTAGCCCCGCCTTTTTCATCTTGGCTTGTGATTGGTCAGTTAAAAAACAAATAATTAACAAAGTTCTGTATATTAACGAAAATTTGTTTCCACAGAAAGAGGATAATGCCACATTATCCAATCACGAAACCACACGTCATATTGGTGGACGAATGTGACATAACCTTAATAAACAGATTACAGTATAGCCGAGAGGAAGAGCACGTTATATATAGAACAATATTAATGCCGAACACTTATGTAATATAGAAAGTAATCCATAATGAACTGCGCTTATAACCCCGTCATTATGTTCACCCAACAATTCACGCGAGATAGACTTGACTAAAATATATTTCTTGGCCAGATATAAGGAAAATATCAATTACCATGTTGAAAATAGACCATAAATAGTAAGTAACGAACGAGATATAAAACAGAAATAATGCGATAATAAACGTAAGAAAGTAATTAGTAAAATCTACTTAGATTTTTCAAAATTAAATAGAAGAAATATATGAGTATAGATCCAGCATGTAAGGAAAACTGAGGCGATGGGACTAGAGGGGCACTAAAGAGATCTGGGGCGGGAGTGGCACCAGGGACGGCAGGGACACGACGAGAATTTTTGGAGCCAATATTACGTGTTGTGACTTGTAATGACCAGTGAAAGACCTGTGGGGGAGAAGGGTGAGGGAGGGAAGAGAGTCTGGACTCTTTTGGAGTTCAGCGTAAGTGAAGCTCTTCTCAGTCTTACACGGCGTCTGTTTATGAGGAGTGTTGTAATGGGTTTGGCAATATACTTAAGATTGTTTGTAGTTACTTATTGGTGCAGCCATATATGTAAATATATATATATATATATATCTTAGACCTTTAACTCGTCAGTGTCTTTAAAAGGTTCGTAATTAATCGGTCTGTAGTGTTTTATGTTGGCTTGTCAGCGGTTAACTGCGAGGCTAATTAAGCGGTGACGGAGCTGCAGGTTGAGGAAGAGACCTCGACATTATCTGCAGGTAAACAGCAGAAGAAGAGGGAGTTCATCTAACAGTAGTGAAGCTCACCAGGTCACAGAGGAAGGCTACAACGCCTCATTAACTATAAGTGCTCCAGCTAAAGGCCGCTAACACAAGACCTAATCATAATTTAACAGATATTTGTATTGACAGACGGGCGCCAACCGTTCACAGACGGGCGCCAACCGTTCACAGACGGGCGCCAACCGCGGTACACATTTACAGAGTTCACAAATAAACGAAAATGACTGAGTTCTAAAAAAAAAAAAAGAAGATATTCGGTGACCCGCCATTGTCCACAACCAAGCCAAGAGACGACGCCGTGTTCCTCC